CCATGTTCAAAGTGGTGCCATATTTTTCTGTCCTGATGTAAAGTATCTCTCACCATGAAGTTCAGTGGTTGTGACAATTTATTCAAATTTTATTTAATTACACTGTTTTTAAATAGTACAATACTAAATAAGGCTTTTGTATTATTACTCTAATGAGCTTTTTGTTAAATTATAACTGTTCCCCACAATTATCTGAATGTAACAAATTTTATAATAAAATCATTTTTACTGAAACTAAAGACCTTAAATTGCTAATTGCTGAAATTGTAGCTAATTTCCTAACTGCACAGTATTTGATACATAAATGACAATTTTTATCCTCAACTTCAAACACCAATATAAAAACAAATATGGATAATATTCCTTCATAACTGGGTGTGTAAGAAAGAACAAATTACATACTGAAAAGCAAAAATTATCTCTTCTTTGGTACTCTTTCTTGATTGGCAAGATACCCTCTCTATAAACATTTTTATTACTATGGGCTAAAAGAAATACAGTCATAATACAATTTTGTTACCAACGTTGCACCAAGCACATAGTTCACTCCTCCATTTATTCCAGGGGTGACTAGTATAAATAAATACACAATTGACCCTTGAACAACATGGGTTTGAACTGCACGGGTGCATTTATACATGGATTTCTTTTCAATAAATGCAGTACAGTACTGGGGCGCCTGGGTAGCTCAGTCAGTTGAGTATCCAATTCTTGATGTTGGCTCAGGTCATAATCTCATGGTTCATGAGTTTGAGCCCCTCATTAAGCTCTGCACTGACAGTGAGGAGCCTGGTTGGGATTCTCTGTCTCCTTCTCTCTCTGTCCCTCCCCCATTCATGCTTGCTCTCTCTCTCAAAATATATAAACTAAATTTAAAAAAATTATTTTTAAAATGCAGTACAGTACTATAAGTGTAGTTTCTCTTCCTAATGATTTTTTTTTTAATTTTTAAATGTTTATTCATTTATTTTAAGAGAGAGTCATGTGGATGAGAATGGGGAAGGGCAGAAAGAAGAGAGTGAATCCTGAGCAGGCTCCACTCCATCAGCCTGGAGCCCGATGCAGGGCTTGAACTCACGAACCATGAGATCATGACCTGAGCCGAAATCAAGGGTAAGATACTCAACCGACTGAGCCACCTGGGCATCCTCACCTAATGACTTTCTTAACATTTTATTTTCTGTAGTTTCTTTACTGTAAGAATATGGTATATAATATATATCATAAAGAAAATATGTGTTAATTGTTAATGCTATTGGTAAGGCTTCCAGTCAACAGTAGGCTATTAGTAGTTAAGTTTTTGGAGACTCAAAAGTTAAGCAGATTTTGAACTGTGTGAGGGGTTGGTGCCCCTAACATCCATGTTGTTCAGTGGTCAACTATACTCATTTGTTGATATTTATGTGCTACAGTCGAACCTTATAATCCACACTGATTAGGATTCAGTACAGCTAGATATATAAAATCCAGGTGATTTGAAAAATATTTTAAGTCACTTTCCTTACATAAAAGACAGTTCATATAATGGCTATCCATCCACCTAGGTGTCTTCTGACGGTGGAATCTCTCTAGTACCTCTATGACTGATCTGCCAAAGGCCTTCAAATCCCAGTTATACTAGCTTTGAATTTTGGTCATCACTTGACCCCTCTGTGCCTCCATTTCCTTATATGAAAGAGGAGGAGAAGAAGAATATACCTCCTCATACTGTTGTTGTGAAGAATAAATTGATCTAGGTAAAGCTCTTAGAACAATGCCTGGCACACAGGAAGCATTATGGAAACATTTAGTGACCATGCTTTCTCCTACTAGAAGAGGTAAAGCTAGTTGTATTATGTAACAATTGGAATACATTCATAATCCATAAAGGAATGGCTGAATGAACTAGGGTGTACAGACCGTTTAAAAGGCATCACAAAAAAACGCATCCCTTTCTACTCTGTGGAGTGAGTTGAATGCTCTCCTTCTCTTAACGTCCCAGGCTAGAACCTAGACAGCCACACAGCAGGATGGTGTCTGGTCATGGTCCAGATACAGAACTCAGGAAAAGAAGGTCTCAGTCCTACCTCGGTCACTAACTTGCTCATTGACTTTAGAGAAGACATTTAACCTTCAGGGCCTCAGTGTCTTCTTCTGAAAACGGAAAATGAACCCGGGTCAGGGCCATGGATCCCAAAACCTTGAAATATCATAGAGTGCCACCATTTTATGACTCTAAGATTTTGTACTTGATGGAAATTTAGAATTATAAAATATAGAAAACGCTGACGTTGAAGAAACTTAATCCACTGTGGTCATTCTTCACCCTCATATTTTAAGGGGCTGAAGTTGGGAAGAAGAACTCTCCTGACACCCAGTCTCAAACCAGTTGTTACTAGAGTCCTCATCAAAGTCTCCATGAACTTTCTATTTCCAAGAGAAGCCTAGCCTGGAAATCCAGGCAACTAACTATGGAATATGGGTCCACCGGGTGAAGACAACCATAAAGCACTCAACAACTAAGCATACATTAGTTTCACGTGTGTTTATCATTACGTATAATTCCCAGTGACAGTGTGGGAGTTAGTTGTCACCATCTCCATTTTATAGAGAATGAAATGAGGCTCAAAAAGATCAAGTGACTGAATTAATGTAGCAGTTATCAGACTACTCAAGCGATGTTGTTTCTGCCCTACCAAAGCTGACACATTTTTTTAAAAAGACAGGTACACAAACCATTTTGCTACCTCACTGGTTTCTAGCAATTGAATCAAACACAATTCTAATACAGCAGAAAGAAATTAATAATTAACACTTGACCATTGAGGTGTTGATCTGTACTGTCCTAATTACCTTTTAAAATACAGTTGATATTTTTAAAACAAATTCTACCCACTTATTTTCTGAGGAGACAAGCAGTTAAATAAAAGTCAGTCATCATGTGCTTTGCATCTACAGAAATAACCTTACCTTTCAGGTCGTCTAAGTTTTGTATTAAAGCACAAACATTTAAGTACCTAAACTGCTACTTTTTCTTAGAAATACTACTAGCTCCTTATAAAAATGATTAGATACTAGCTCTTATCGAGGAAGAATGTGGATACTCCCTGGATGTTTAATAAGCTATAAAAATTTCCTTCAGTTTTAATTAAAAGGTACCAATTAGAAGATTAATTCCGACCTAGGTGATAGAGTTACAACATAGTAAATGCCACCTTACTTTAAGTGGCGCATGATGGAAAACATCGACAAAACAGAATTTGCTGATAATGGCTTCAAACATCTGTTAAATATTCTCATTTATTCCAGGTCAACTGGCAGTACTATAGCACTGATGGAACACAAACAGCAAACTAAAAGAAACCTAAGACGTATATCTAACATGCAACATATTCAGTCTTG